TGGCGATGTGATCAGCATCGTGCCAACCAGGCACCTTTACTTTCCAAGACTTTACCTGGCATCCAATTAGGGCTCGGTCACCCTGGGAGCCACGGTCATTTTTGAGAAACGTGGCAGCTCTGTTTGAATTTTAGCCCTGATCTGCAGGGAAGCATATAGCCACTACCTTATGAGAGCTCCTGGATTTTAAAAATGTTGTATTTAGAAGCCAGCAGTTGTAATTCCTGTCTGTCAGTGATAATGTTTGATGACTGACAATTGTCGCGTCCACAGACCAGGTGAACTGTGTCACCTTCTACAAACAGAACCACATGTTTACAGCCAGCGATGACGGGACTGTTTGCATGTGGAGAACAAAGAACTGGGAAATGATGCGTGTTCTTAAAGGTCACAAGTAAGCGCTTCTTCTTCTTTCATTCAGCAGAAATAAATGCCTGTATTAAAAACTTTGTCTCATGTATAAATTTCACTGTCGTTTTTAGTTTGTTCAGTGGTCCATAGAGTTTATGTTCCACTGTTATTCTTTCTGGCCAAAAGGTTTGCCTTAGTGCAGGGCTATTCAACTAAGTTTACCAAGGGGCCAAAATTCGGAAAATTGGGATCGTCACGCCACAGAGGGCTAAACCTTAGCATAAAAGGATCATTAATACAATACACTTGCCAATGATCCCAGGGCCGCCAGTTGAATAGCCCTGCCTTAGTGTATCAGATTCGGTGCAGTCCTGGAGTACATGTTCCGCTGTCTTGGGCATCTTCCCGCAGGTGCACAAGTAAGTGCTATTTTGGACGCCTGTCAAGAGAACGCTATGTTGGATGCTTCACAAGAAAGTGCTATTTTGGGTGTTTGAGTCTTTGTCAGATATGACTGTGCTATCCTTTAACCCTCTGGAGACGATGCAGCCAAAATTTTGGGCCAACACAAAGTAGCCAAATGGACGGCTGGGGCGATTGGTTGGCCCTATGCAATGCAAGCCTTGAGATTGGCTGGCAGGTTTTCGTACCAGCTAATCAGATTGCTTCTCACATTTCTTGCACATGTGTGCTGTTCATTGACAGCTTTTGAGAAAATTTGATATGTTCTATAATTTTACATCAATTTGTTTCTGGGGTTACCTGTGTCCAACAATGGCGAAAAGGACTGTTGTGTTATAGCAACCGAAACATAGCTGAAGGCAGGAAAATGAGTAGAGCCATGTGTCTGAAGGGCATCCAAAAGCCTTACTTCCCAAAGCCTTACTTCCCAAAGCACAGGTGTCTTATTCAAGCTTGATCCATCAAAAAAATTCACCCAATTTTTTTTAGGTTAGTTAAGTTTGTTCCCAAGTTTTAAAAAAAAAAGAAAATTATGCAAATCAGAATAGTTAATTTAAATAAATGTTGAGATTTCAGTTTGATTCATAAATAATCTGTTAGCTTATTTAATTTCCTATACGACTTTACAGGGCACGTGTTCTATTCTATGACTGGTATTCTGTTGTTAAGGGCACGTGTTCTATGACTCAGGGTTGGTAGTGGACCGGGAAATCGGGAAATTACCGGGATTTTTTTCGTTGACCTTGAACCGTGAATTTTAGCTTATAAAAGACATTCCGACCTTGAAAAGCCGTGAATTTTGACCGCGGCAATGAAATCGTCAGAAATCCTGTGTTTCTCAGCACAGGCAATTTTGGGGGAGCCCTTTGGCTTTTTTGGCCTTTTGGCTACTTTCGTTGTATGGTCGTTTCAGGTGTGAGGGCAGCTGATTATTGGCTATTTTCAGCCGAAATGGCTTGTTAAAGGCCAGGGGAGGGCGGGCTGTGTTGCAGATCATGAATACATGCAGACAGCAGCGGTGTGGCATGGGGCGGGAAGTAGCAGATTCCGTCTCGCGCGTGTGTGTGTGCCTTTGTTTCTAGCAAGTCCAGCAGAATGAACAGTAAAAATCGTTTATGGCCGTGGTTTCTAGAAAGGATTACATTGGGAGATGGTGGGGCTCGGTTCAGTTGTGTTGTATTTATAAATAGAGTCGCCGTGGTGGGGGCTAAGCACGGCGGCCTTCTCTATTAATTAGAGATGGCATTGAGGCTAAGCAAAGTGACTGCAGCTGGATTTCCCAGTTCTATTTTTGGCCTGGATTTATCTTTACAGTGTGTTTGGCGATCAGTATTGTAATTCCCCGAGATTCCCTCTTCTGTTGTCTCACCCCTCTCTCTCTTCCCTCCCTCTTTCACTCTTCTACCTATTGCTCCTTCCTTCCCGTCTCCTGCATTGTCTCTAACCCTCCCTTCTGATCTTTATTTTCTTCTCTTTCTCTCTATCTTTCCATTGACTCTCTCATTTCCTGTCCCCCCTCCCCCTTTTTCCTATTTTATTTCTTGTTTAAATGTTTAGTAAATGTGCGGCTCCATAACTCTTCCTAGCAACTCAAGTACACAGGAAGTTGTATTGGGGGGGGGGGGGGGGGGGGGGGCATCTGTGTGAACATGGTGGATATTTTCTTTTGATGTGTTTGTTTTCCTAGCGGCCTTAATCTCTGTCCATCTCCCTTCCCGCCCCCTCACATTTTGTCCTACCTGTTCCTCACTCTCTGCCTGTCTGTGTCACTGCTTTCCTCTCTCTCTTTCTCTTTGTATTTGCCACTCTCTCTCTCTCTCTCTCTCTCTCTCTCTCTCTCTCTCTCTCTCTCTCTCTCTCTCTCTCTCTCTCTCTCTCTCTCTCTCTCTCTCTCTCTCTTTCTTTCTCCATACCTTCAGTTGGTGTAGAAGGTTATGTGTTGCCTAGTGCAGAACATTTCATGTCCACCATTCCCCCCTCCCACACATTAAATATATGTGTACTTTTAAAAACACATTTGCCGTCACCCCCCCCCCCCCCCCCCCCCCCTTTTTTTTCTCCTCCCACATTGATGACACCTAGGGGAGGGAGTGCACCCCTTCCTGCTACCTTCTTCCCTCTATATCTCATCTTATTTCTTACTCCCTTCTTTCTCTCCCTGTCTCATTCCCACTTTATTTTCTTAAACTTTATTCTCTCACCTCCTCTGTCTCACCCTTACCACCTCAGCCTTCTACACCACTTTCCACCACCTCCTCTCTCCCCTCCTTTCTGTAATTGGAAAACCAGAAATAAAATGAAGTCCACTGCTGCCCTGACCTATTTATGTGTCTGACCTATTTATGTGTGTGGGTAAACTTCTCTATTTTCTACCAGTGGTGGGTTGGGATCCCCTGGACTTTTTTTTTCTTCATAAAATGACCTTGGCTCTCAGGTCACCAGCCTTAAGTGTAAGAAATTGAATTATTGTTGTCACACACAGATAGGACAAGCAAGGGGCAGTAGGGGTTAGCACTGTTGTTTTTGGACCACTGGCCACATTCACATTGGGAGAGGGTAGGAACCGGAAAAGTGGCCTCACTTAGAGATTTCCTAATTCTATTTTTGGCACTCACTTACACACCCCCCCCCCCCCCCCCCCCCCCCCCCCCCCCCCCCCCCCCCCCCCGTCTTACCTTTCTTCTCTCACCCCTTCTCTTTCCTTTGATCTTCTACTATTCTCCTTTCTCTCTCCATTCTTCCTTTCCTTGCCCTTTCTCCTGTCCCATCTCTTCTTTGTCTCCTCTCCATCCTGTCTTTTCATTTTCTCTAGATTTCCTTACCAGCTCCCCTCTCTCATTCTCTCTCCCCCCCCCCCCCCCCCCCCCCATTTTTACTGGTTCATCTACGTATTTTTTTTGCCCCATAACTCTTTTCCTAGTGGTTGTGTCCACTACACTTGAAATTGTGGGGGGGGGGGGGGGGGGGGGGGGGGGAGTAGGTGGCTGTTTTTTTTCTTTGATGTATCTTGTCTCCCTTTCTGCCCCTCTCTCTTAATCTGTGTTTGTCACTGCCTTCCTTACCCACCTCTCTCTCTCTCTCTCTCTCTCTCTCTCTCTCTTGCTTTATGTCTGTTTGCCTCCCTTCATCACTTCCTCTTTGTATACCTCCCTCCCATTCTCCTGTTCTGCCTTTTTTCTCTTTCTTTGGTTCTCTCCCTCTGTCTGCTTGCCTCTCTGTGCTGTCCCTTTGTCTCTCTCTCCTTTATGTCTACATCTCTCTCTGCTTGCATCTGCTTCTCACCCTGTCCGTTCTCTCTCCCTCTGTCTCCCTTCTTTCAACTCTTTGTCATATTTACCTCCTTCCATATCTCTGTTTCGTTCCCTTTTTCCTTCTCTTTTCATCTGCCCATCTCTGTATCTGCATTCCCTTTTTCTGTATTTGTCTCCCTCTCTGTCTTTCGCTGTCCCTTCCCCACTTTTCCTCATCATGTCTCCATCCCTCCCTCTCATTTTTTCCTCCTTCCCCAGACTTCTTTTCCTTCTTTTCTCTACCTCCATCTGTCCATCTTTACACTGTCTCTCCCAGCCTACCTCAGCATGTGTCTTCCTCTCTCTTCGTGACTCTCTCTCTCTCCCCTAACCCTCTCAGGTACCAGGTCCAGAACAGACAGGACTTCAGTTTGCTGCCCTCTACCACCAAGCCCTAAAAAAAAAATTCAAACACTATATCAAGCGCAGGGGCCGACCAACACGAAGATGGGCACAGGATATAAGTGACTCCTTGAGTATAAAAAAGTACATGAGGCGGGAGAGCTGGTGAGAGACCGAGGTTTTTTTGTCAGGACAAAGGAAATGCTACATGATGATGATATCTGTGCTGGTATACCAACACATGTGGCACAAATGAAGTACCTTGTGTGCTCAGTACACCCTTGAACAAGGCAAAAATCTTGTTTCAGTATTACACCGAGACAACCTTGAAAAAAACTAAGGAGACCTTGAAAAGCCTTGAAATTGATTGGTAAATTTGGCTATGAACCCTGATGACTGGTATTCTCTTGTACAGGGCATATGTTCTATGACTGGTATTCTCTTGTACAGGGCATATGTTCTATGACTGGTATTCTCTTGTACAGGGCATATGTTCTATGACTGGTATTCTCTTGTACAGGGCATATGTTCTATGACTGATATTCTCTTGTACAGGGCACATGTTCTGGCAGTAGCTGTTCATCCCAGTGGTAAACTGGCTCTGTCTGTGGGCAGTGATAGAAGCCTCCTTACCTGGGACCTGGTCACGGGCAAGTTGGCCTTTCAGAGGAAGATTAAAGAAGGTAAATTGTCATCAGTGTATGTACAGTGTTAACACACACTCATATTTTCTGGCTATGTAAGTACACTGTAACATCTATGCACTGTGACATGCACGCACTCTAAACATTGTGTGCTGACATGTAAAATTATGCGTGCACTGTTAAACATTCATTAACTGGTGCCTGCACAGAATAGAGGGAATTAACTGGTATGATAGAATCACTAATGCAGAGCTTTAAGAGAGAACTGAACAGGTTCCAGGGGACCAAGAGGTGAGGAAAAGGCGCTGGGGTTGGACAGGACACATGCTGAGAACAATATAACTGGAATGTCTTTGCACTGGAGCCCACAGGGGCATAGGAATAAAGGAAGACCCAAAAAACACACGGAGAAGGGAGCTGGAGAGTGAGGTTAAAAAGATGAGGAGAGCTGCATGCGATAGCAAAGGATACCCAACTTGGAATGAGTTGGTTGAGGGCCTATGCTCCAGTGAGGGTTAGAAAGGGGGAAGAAAAGCACATTAGCATGAGTTGTTTGTCTCCTTTTGCTTTTTATCCCCAACGGATCATTGGCCCTCAACCAGTTCACACAAAGCTATTTTACCATTTCCGTTAGCTCCCCCTGTACCCATCTAGTAATATTTAACTGTACCTCAAATTCATTTTTAAAAATGACCTTGACTCCCAGGTCGACCCAGCCCTTAAGTGGGTCGCAGGAAGTAAACTACCGGCATGATGCTGACCACGTCGTCCATCTTCTCCCGATTAGTCTATAAAAATATAGGTCTAGCCCTGTATGCTCTAAAGGCGTGGAAAGGGGACCTTTACTTACTAATTCACTGGTCATCCCACATTATTTTGACCTGTGCATTCCGGGGACTGGAATTTTCACTTATACTTTTAGCAGTTTTCTTTCCTTGTGAATTCTTAAGCCCCATAGAGAGAGAGGTAAAAAGACATTCTGTCCCCTAAACAAGCAGGTAAAAGGTGATCAGTTAGGTGTTTGCTAAAATATGATGTGATGGGCTGAAAGATGCAGATGTTGCAGTCTATTTGTTAACCACAGTACATTGTGCCAACCACTTTTTTGTTCACAGAGCATGCAGAAGAAGATGTTGGTTTTCTAACAGCATGTCTTATCCAGAACCAGCGACTTTTCTTAACCTCTTACTTCACTGGAATTTGTTTTGTTCTCTCCATAAGCTTTGCAATTTTGTCAGATCATCTTATTTCTGTTTTTGCTGAGCATTAATGCCTTTACTTTCATCATTTATTATCTATTTCTGTCACTTGTCTCAATCACTGTCTATTTATATCCCTCCTCTTATCATTACTGTCCATTCATATTCCTCCTTTTATCACTCATTGTCTATTTATATCCCTCCTCTCACCATTCACTGTCGATTCATCTCCCTCTTATCATTACTGTCCATTCATCTCCCTCTCATTACTGTCCATTCATCTCTCTCATTACTGTCCATTCATCTCCCTCTCATTACTGTCCATTCATCTCCCTCCTCTTATCATTACTGTCCATTCATCTCCCTCTCATTACTGTCCATTCATCTCCCTCCTCTTATCATTACTGTCCATTCATCTCCCTCTCATTACTGTCCATTCATCTCCCTCCTCTTATCATTACTGTCCATTCATCTCCCTCTCATTACTGTCCATTCATCTCCCTCTCATTACTGTCCATTCATCTCCCTCCTCTTATCATTACTGTCCATTCATCTCCCTCCTCTTATCATTACTGTCCATTCATCTCCCTCCTCTTATCATTACTGTCCATTCATCTCCCTCCTCTCACCATTCACTGTCCATTCATCTCCCTCCTCTCACCATTTACTGTCCATTCATCTCCCTCCTCTCACCATTCACTGTCCATTCATCTCCCTCCTCTCACCATTCACTGTCCATTCATCTCCCTCCTCTCACCATTCACTGTCCATTCATCTACCTCCTCTCACCATTCACTGTCCATTCATCTCCCTCCTCAAATAATTCACCGTCTGATTGTGTCTTCTTTTATATCTTTTGCAGTCTGATGATCTCACTCCTAAATTATCGACTGTTACACATTCATCAGAGGTGAATTAATCATGTAATCTTTGATCAGGGAGGGATTGTCATACACATTTTAGACAGTATAATTGATTCATTCAAACTTTGATCAGCGGGTGGGTGAAACTTTTTTAATTCTCTGAATGACTGATTGATATAATATTCTATTTCAGCTGCAACAAACATACTGTTCACATCAGATGGCAATCATTATATTCTCATTTACACAAAACGTGTCGAAATTTGCAACCTTGAAGTAGGTATTGTTTTCTGCACATTGTTGTTTTACCTGTTTTGTATCTGATAAGACGGACTGTTGCATTTTGAAAGAAACCAAACGCAGTGTGCTGCTATAAAGAGGAAAAGGTTAGCCTCATAGCGATGGAGTGTCTACTTTTTTGTGTATATCTTATATGGCAGAGACTGCCGCTCCCGCATCGGACTTCATAATCACAGCAGATGCTGTTCCCAAAGACAGCGGAGCATCTCCATACCCCCCCTCCCCCCCCGACTGATAGGTGCCATTATTATTTATCTGATACCTTATTGTCAAACTGGTATATAATGTCATATTGCCTGTCTGAAATTTGATGTATTACCTTTTTTTTTCTTTAATATGACATATTGTCTATCTTTTAATCTGTCATATTGCATTTTTTGTTATCTGTTTATTATTGCTTGCTTTTACCCCGTGATATCTTCTGTGTTTTGGAGGGAAAAAACTGACTTCAGGACAGCTAATCACGAACATAGAAATGGTCGGTTATCAGTACTTGGCGTCAAGAAAAGAAAACACACATGTTTGCAATAACTGAAAAGATTTGCGGACGAAGAGATCGAGCGCAGCAAGAAACGATTCTTGGTAATCTTCTGTCATCGCTTTGAAATGTGTCAGCAATATGGCCTGATACAGGCTGTTGGAGAGACAGTATCATCCAAGCTGTCGGGGAGACAGAGATGAATATATAACGTCAGAGATGTGTACTCATTTGGTTTACATACTGTTGTCTAGTGGGCGTTTGTGGCTTAGGCATTGCATAGGCGCTTTGTAATGCTGGGGTGCTGGGTTTAGATTCCAGCTGCGGGCCTTGTGTTTGTTTCAACGGTGGTATCGAAAAATAGACCGTTCAGAAAGCAATGGCAAACTACTGGATGTAAATTTGACTAGAAGAACCACAACAGTAAAAAAAAATGCTGGGATTGGTTCTGCAACGTCCTGTAAAAGGATAGGCAAAAAAAAAAAAAATTTGTTTCTAATCAGTATTTGGTTATGGACCATACCCTAGCAATATGGCAGAGTCATGAAAATGTGGAAAGTAGAGCCCAAAGACTGGATGGAGACCTTAGAAGACTGCATGAGTACTGCCAAAGATGGAAACTCAAAATTAACTGTGCAAAGACGGTCTACACAATCTTTACCAAAAGCCACCAAGTAGCAAGGAAGAATATTAACCTGAGGTTAGACAAACACCAAGTGATGAAAGAAGAGCATCCCACATACCTTGGAGTCACACTTGACCGGCAGCTCAGCCTCAAGAACCATATTGAAAACATCAGGAATAAGGCATTGAGGCGGTTACAGTTATTAAAGAGACTTGCAGGCACATCATGGGGATCAGACAAGGAAACTCTGAGGGGCTTATATCTAGGATATGTTCGCTCTGTGATACAACAACTCACTGCTTACAACTTGCTCCAAAACTAACCTAGAGACTCTTGACAGAGTACAAAATAATGCCCTCCGATTAATCTGCGGAGCTATGCAGTCTACACCAACTGCTGCATGTGAAATCCATACAAATGTGGAACCCCTCGGGCTGCAGAGAGAAAAAGCCACTTTAGAAATTTATGAAAGATGCGTTAGGAAAAATCGTAACCATCCTAATAGACATCTCGTAGAAAACTGGGAATACACACAAAGAATAAAGCACAAATCGGTTTTACACTGTGTTAATGAAATTCAGGACAGATACCACCTCCCAGAAAGACGTCAAGGAATTCAGAATGTTGCAAGAAACCTACCACCACATGCTCGCTTTAAAGCTCCAGAAGTCCGAACTAAATTGGTAGGCGAGGAAACCAAACAGTCCGACCCAATCGCTCTTATGAACTCATCACTAAAGACCGTTGATTCTTACCCCCAAGAATGGATACATGTCTATACTGATGGATCAGCATTTAAAGCTACCATTAAAGCAGGTTACGGAATCTACATAGGTTATCCTGTTGAAGAGATTTTTGGTGCATGCGGGGAATTCTGTTCAAATTATGAAGCTGAAATAATTGCACTGGAAACAGCAGTATACCACCTAAAGACTGTAATGGATGTTTACCCTTCAAAGGTCCAAAATATTGTCATCTTCACAGATTCAATGTCTGCCCTTCAAGCTCTGGAGGGCAGTGAATGCTGCAGAACTGACATAGCCAAGATAATTCTGGATGCTGATCAGCTTATTACCTCATACAACATCAGAACAGTGATGCAGTGGATTCCAGGTCACTCCGGCACACCAGGTAATGACAGAGCTGACAGATTGGCAAAGAAAGGAGCAACACAAGAACAACCGCCTACAGCGACAACCCTCCAGACAGCAAAAACAGTGATAAGAGCTATAAACAAAGAGACTTGGTTAAACAGATGGGCCATGGGAGACACTGGAAGAGAGGTTTATAGACATATGTCTGGCCCTGATCCTAATGACAGCATTAACCATCTAACAAGAAGGGACCAGGCCACCATCTTCAGACTTAGAACGCAACATACTCCACTCAATGGACACCTAAACAGAATACAGCCACAACACTCCCCAGAGTGCCAGCTATGTAACTACCCCTACGAAACTGTTGAACACCATCTCTTTGAGTGCCCAAAACTCAGTGAGACAAGAAGAACGCTACTCCCTCCGTGACCAGACATGTGAAACACCTTGTACGGAGGAAAAGAACAGCTTGTGAAAACATGCAAATTCCACTACATGGCATTGGGCCAAAGGGCGAAAGCTCATGCGCCGCTGGATCGATAACAACAACAATGGACCATACAGTTGTCCCTGATTAGTAACACAGAGGACACTTCTACGTCTTTGGCATATTGGGTATATAGTGTTAGACCTATATTTTTATCGATCAGCTGGCGCTCGATGGGTCAGCATCATGTCAGCCACCTTTACTTCTCAGGGCATTACCTGGTACCTATTCTAGGCTGGATTGACCTGGGAGCTGAAGAGAAAAAATTATGTGCCCATCCCTTTAAAAAAAATATGCCATCAAATTTACATGTAGGTTCTGTGGCTCTGTTGTCAGGAAAACAAGAATAGACACACTGCCTACCCAGCAAGCATGTCGCAGGAGTTGACTAATGGGGGCTTTCTGCAGGGTCAGAGTGCATCTGCCTAAGAGGCAAGGAACCAATAGTCTGCATACAAGTAGACCAGATCTGTAAATTGATGTGCACGCAACACTCAGGTTCTGGAACAAGACTAAAGTCCAGAGGTAGATGAGCAACCAGAACTTATCTGCCGGAGTTTACAGTCGGTGAATGCAAATAAGAAGAAATTCCTTTGAGCTGACAGGCAAGTGTCTGTCTGCAGCACTTGCATGGTGTCCGTCTTATTGTATCTAGCTATCCAAACATCTATGTGAACAGAGTTCAAGTTGACTAAATGCATGATTGCTGTAATCGTCATTCTCTGATGACTGACCCTCTGGTTAGACATTCAATGTTGCTCTTTTTTGCAGGACACAAGCACTGTTGTAGAGATACCAACCAGCTGGAGAATTAACTCTGTTTGTTTGATAAAGGTATGACTTGTGTATTGTGTGATTCTGTGATCAAAGTATAGCTTTTGTATGTTCCACAGTTCTTTCTTTGCCTGGCGAAGGTTTGGCTTTCGTGTATTCAGTAGTCCTTTGTTTGATGAGAGTTTGGATTTGTTGTGCTCTGGCTTTTCCTTGCGTTTGATAAAAGTTTGGCTTAAATGCATTCTGTAGTTCTTCCTTTGTTTGATATAGGTTTGGATTTTGTGTATTTGGTATTTTTTCCCCTTTGTTTGATGAAGGTTTGGAGTCTGTGTGTTTGATCGCCATCTGTGTCTATTTATATATTTCTTAATAACTCAAATCATTATAATGTCCACTTATCGGCACTTATTGTTATCTAAATAGTAATTTATTCAAAAGACTATCTTTGCAGCTATATTTGCCTGAAAGATGTTAATATCTCCCCCCCCCCACTTATTTTTATCTAAACTAGTATTGTATTCAAGACTATAGACTTTGCAGCTATATTTGCCTGAAAGATGTTAATACCCCCCCTCCCTTTTTTGTGTGTTAATGTTTTACGGAAAAGGGGTGTGGGGGTAGATGCAGTTCTGTGAGTGGGGCCTGGTAACCAGGACAAGACGGCTATTACAGGCTGTATTTTTGGACTAGCAGTGAAATATTTATGCTGTAAACGTCTGGATCCCATAGAACATCTTAGCAGTGGAATATAATCTTTCTTCAGCATCTTCTTTTTTGTTTTTGGTCATGCCTTTGTTTAGTTCTGCTAAAGGTTGCCTCAGAGATGTGGTTTTACAGAAGAATGCTTAGAATACCTTGGACAGCCAAAAAGAGCAACCAAGAGGTTTTGAAAGAAGCGGGAGCCCGAAGACAACTTATCACACACATCAGAAGGAGACAGTCATCATTTTTCGTCCATGTTATGAGAAGAGGGAAAATAGAACATGTTGTGACCACTGGAAAGATCTGTGGAAGGAGGGATAGAGGAAGACAATGAGAGAAAATGCTTGACAGTCTTGTTGCAAGGCATGGAGGTGTGTCGACACATGAACTGATAATGCTGCAGGAGATCGCAGATTATGGAGAGGCATGATCGCCCACGCCAGTCGGCAAGGCACCTGATGATGAAAGGTTGCTATGGCACACATGGGTTCTGTGCTGACTGCACTTTTCTCTTTTTCTCAAGCTTTTATTAAGTTCACTTTTGTTTGTTCTCAATGATTAAAATTTAGTCGACAAATGTTAGATTTTGATTTTTTGTTCTTTGTCTTAATTTGTGCTCTCATGTTGTTATTTTGTTTTAACACCTTGTTTCAGAATGATGTCCTTGCTGTTGGTGGAGATGATCGTTATATTCGTCTGTTTGATATCTTTTCGGGGAATGAACTGCTGACCCTAGATATGGCCAAACCACAAGAAGACAGCTTTAGCAGGTCAGTGGCTGAGCCACAAAGTGTCAGGTTGTCTTGTTCACATTACAAGACTGACATAATGTCGTGTGAACTTCTTTTTTTCTTGCCATATGGACTTTTCTCTCTTGCCATATGGACTTTTCTCTCTTGCCATATGGACTTTTCTCTCTTGCCATATGGACTTTTCTCTCTTGCCATATGGACTTTTCTCTCTTGCCATATGGACTTTTCTCTCTTGCCATATGGACTTTTCTCTCTTGCCATATGGACTTTTCTCTCTTGCCATATGGACTTTTTCTCTCTTGCCATATGGACTTTTCTCTCTTGCCATATGGACTTTTCTCTCTTGCCATATGGACTTTTCTCTCTTGCCATATGGACTTTTCTCTCTTGCCATATGGACTTTTCTCTCTTGCCATATGGACTTTTCTCTCTTGCTCTGTCATTAATTCCTAACACAGCTGTTCTTCTTCGTGGCCGTGATTCCAGACTGACCATCATCCTCTTCCTTGGTCTCTGACTCTCGCTTCCCCTTCAGCTTTTTTATTGTCTTAATGTACTCCTGTTTGTTTTTTCCTTTCTCGCGATGTACCAGAAATGTAGATTGTCTCCTTCATATATAGGTCATCAGCTTTGTTTGCGAAAAATAATTTATTTTGAGGCAGCTTCATAAAGGTTGTTATGCCAGTGGTGTTCATATCATCCTTCTCAAGCCATTTCTCTACCGCCTGCACATAATTTACCAGTAATTGTTCTGCTTGTCACTGATCCACCTCCATACACCAGTAATTGTTCTGCTTGTCACTGATCCACCTCCATACACCAGTAATTGTTCTGCTTGTCACTGATCCACCTCCATACACCAGTAATGGCTTTGTGTAGCTCTCCATAACTCGTGTGATGAAAAATGAATGTAGACTTTCATTTGAACTAACAATCATGATTAACATGACAAGTTCCACTACGGCTTCCTGGGCACCATTTTGGAGCAGAAAAATACAGCCACTTCTTAATTGGCACTTTGTAAGTTGCGGCTAATTAAGGATTTGTTTAAATTGGATGTATGGGCCGAAAGGTCCAGATAGCACAGCTTAGCTGTTAGTCCCCGCAATAAAACATGCCAACCACATTCTTAAGAGAATAAAAAAGTAGAATAATCACCATAAATGGTAGAGAGGCTTCTAACCTGGACAGTCCTGGATAGACCCCGCCTTTAAAGTAATGCGTACCAGACAATGTGAAGATTTGAATGGAAATTTTGTGGGAAGTATAAGCAGCAAGGAAGAGTATCTGCCATCTGCCAGCGAGAGAGATATTTGAAAGCAACAAATAGCAACTCTGTGCATTTCAAGGCATGGACAAGATACACTACTCACTTACAGCTAGAATATGGGCCATTGGGAAATATAAGCAACATAGAAGGATGTCTGCCATCTGGCCAAGCAGAGAGATATTTGTCTCAGTGTTTATAGTGACTTAGTGTGGCTAAGAGGTTAGTGAAGTGGTTTCACAGTGTGGTCTTTAACGTTTACCGGGGTGCAAGCCCCAGGGTGGGCGGTGTAGAAAAATAATATTTTCGTGGTTTTTAGACAGTGGTATGAGAGTCTCACAGTGGAAGAGATTGGAGCCTCACAGCGTAATATTTCCATAGCTGACAGTAGAAACATGGCAGCTAACCTCTGTTGTAGAGAAGGCAGCCATAAAAAAAAAATTTGCAACCATTTCTGAGAAACACTGCATGCTTGCATTCTTACCTATGCCTTAATTCGGCCACACCTGCTATAAACTCCAACAACGAGACGTTCTGGTTGTTTGCATCTCTTGGCTTTAGTTCCAGAACCGGCATGTTGCTTGCACATGTGTTCTACAGATTCAACTTATTTGTATGGAGACTTGGTTCCTTGCCTCTCAGGCAGATGCAATTTAACTTCAAAGGAAGATCCCCCCCCCCCCAACCCCAACCCCCAATTAGTCAGCTCATACGACGTGCTTGTTTAGGAGGCAGTGGGTCTGTTCTCGTTTTCTCCACAATAGGGCCCTGGAACCCATACGAGGAAACTGTAAATACCATTTGTTCATAAAGTTATGGTGCACTTCTGACTGATCACAGGAAATCAACGAAATAAGATAGAATCGTTAAATCTTCACCAAATGAAAGGAAAACTCCAAGTTGTATACTTATTCAGGGCAGTGTTCTATGTGACTTCCGTTTGTTGCCCTACAACACTCATCTAAACGGATATTCAAGTTCTTTTCACACACGGTTAGGGGCGTCAAAAGTACACCATGGCGTTGCGAACACACAGCATTACATAGATCTGTAACAAAGCTACCGGGGTGGGTTTCATGTTATCACACTTTTGTTAGCTAATCGTTAGTCCAGGTTTCAACCAACTCTTCACAAATTGCCCTTCACTGCTCATTTGAAAACTAGTGAAAAACTTACCACTCCTAGCGACATTGTAACGCTTTGTTACTGTTTGTTTCCAGTCGTGTGCGGTGTATTTGTGCCACAGTTTGTGGTCAGCGGAACCTGCTGGTCGCAGCTACTTCTAGTGGCAGTATCAAAGTGTTTGAGGTCAACCTGGCTGAGGTAAGTCAAGTTTGTGTGGCAGGTGTATAAAGGGTGTCATCAGTGTAATGGATACTTGTTGGTGGATATTTTTTGTGTAATGGATGCCAGTTTAGTTAGTGCTTTGTTAGATGTTGTGACTATACAGGGATGTTTTCTACACTCAATGTGACTATACAAGGCTGTGTGCTAGACCTAATGTTATGACTAATTAGGGATGTTTCCTAGACCTGATGTGGTGACTGTACATGGACGATTCCTAGACCTGATGTTGTGACTGTACATGGACGATTCCTAGACCTAATGTTGTGACTACAAGGATGATTGATAGACCTAAAGTTGTGACTACAAGGATGTTTGATAGACCTAACGTTGTGACTACAAGGATGTTTGATAGACCTAATGTTGTGACCACAAGGATGTTTGATAGACCTAATGTTGTGACTATACATGGATGTTTGCTAGACCTAATGTTGTGACTGTACATTGACGATTCCTAGACCTAATGTTGTGACTACGAGGATGTTTGCTAGACCTAATGTTGTGACTAAACATGGATGTTTGATAGACCTAATGTTGTGACTACAAGAATGTTTGCTAGACCTAATGTTGTGACTACAAGGATGTTTGATAGACCTAATGTTGTGACTACAAGGATGTTTGATAGACCTAATGTTGTGACTACAAGGATGTTTGATAGACCTAATGTTGTGACTACAAGGATGTTTGATAGACCTAATGTTGTGACTACAAGGATGTTTAATAGAACTTATTTTAAAGACTAATCTAGCAGAAAGCTGATGTTCATTTTGTTTGTGACCTGTATGTTTGAACTCTCACACAGAAAACCACAGATGAGGTTTTGTCGCATGCAGCTCGGGTCAGGGTCACTTGTATGGCCGTACATAATTCTGCTAACGGTGCTCTTGAAAAAGGTCAGTGCTTGTTTGTGTCCATGTTGTCCACTTTAAGGTCAGTGCAGTTTTTATATAATGAAATGTGCGTGATTGATTACCTCATCCCATTACATTGTAGCCAACTATAGTCAGATTACTGATTTGATAATCAGTATCATGACATACTAGGCATAACTATAGGTGCTCTGTCTCCCGCAGTATGTCTTACAGTGTGGATGCTAACGGTTCCTGTAGCACACTGATTATATACGCATAGTTTTCTTCATTTCATACATCCGTCCTTACCGGTTCAACTACTAATTCTGCTTTCACGCATTATTACACATGTTATTTCATCTAACCTCGTGTTCTGTCAGCATTTGTTCATAAATAGTCTTCAGAATGTCTCTATTGTCCACTAGGAGGGTAGCCATAGCTATCACTTTTGTAGTCAGAAAGTCTACTCTTTTGTTACCTCACACTCCTGCATATCCCGGGCAGTGTCAACTATAGACAGTGTAATTTGGAAACAAAAGAAATAATTTGCCAACAATATTTTGAAAGCTTTTCTGAAAGAAGCTGTCGACTCACATCAGATTTTTATTGAATCAGAAGGGAGTGAATAAGGTATTGGGTTGAGCTGTATGTGGTGGCAAAAGGTGAAGCAACTTGACACATGTTAGGAATCAGTACTCCTTTTCTACTAGGAATGGGTGCAAAGCCGTTTTTCTTGATTGACTATTTGGCACCAAAATTGAGCTGCAGTTTCGGTGTGGGACCATTAAGTTTTAGCCAGTTGCCTTATGCATTTTTACATTGCATGTGCAAGCTTCGAAATTTTGTTGGAACTGACAAGTTTTTAGTAGTTTTCAAATGAGACAGTTTTCAGGGACTTATTCTACTCTACTTATTTTATATGGCTCGCTAGGTAGGCCAGCTGACAGACTCAACTACCCAGACACACCTAAGACAACACTCCTGCTGAGTACAAACATAATCTTTAATGTACAATGAACAACTAGACGTAAGACACTTCAACTGGGCTAAGCAGTTCCCATCCGAAACTGCCTTGGCGATGACAGCTTTACAATCGCTAATCAACCCAGGCCAGTCCCCATGGATCTAGGGAGCACGACTCTTAGCTGGCAGTGTCTCAGTGCCAATCAATCCGCCGTCTATTGCCAAACGGGACTCAGCGATACACATAAGGTGTATGGGTGTATGGCCTAAGCGTGACCAGGCAGTGTTATCGCCATTACAATGCGTGTCACCTTGATTAACTGCTCAAACAAATACTGCATGGAATGTCTACTACACAAAGGACCTTAACTCTATATTATCTAGTCTAAACATTAAATAGAAACACAGCCTATCGTCAAATACTACATAAGTATACCCTATTACACCTAACCGTCGCTAAACCTAATTCTTACCTAGTCACCTGTACCGTCTTCTCTCTCTGTCTACCAGCACAAAGCCTTTTGTATTTCCCTCGAGTTCGTGGCTTAGCACGCAGCACTCCGTGTCAGTTAAGTGAACTCAAACTGGCCTCTTAACTGGGCCCGGCTTATTGCGTGGTCAAGCTGTCCGTTCGCATACTGAGTTGTACTGAAGGTCAACTCGTACAAACATGATGATTCATTATAGGACATCTGTTGTGCTTTCCATAGCCGAACTGGCCTCTGACAACAGTGGAGGACATTCTGTGTGATTTCCACTGGCACAGGGACGGGGCAGCTATGGGACAACCGGTCTGCAGTGATGGTGAAACTTGACTGATGAATTACTAAGAATTAAAACCGAATAATTTAGAGAAAAAAAATACGAGTGATGTAAAGTAGTTGATTATCTCACATAAGCAGTATGTAAAATAACAGATTGATATCACACAGTGTGTAAAATAACAGAATGATGTCACACTGTTTAAAATAACAGATTGATGTCCCATAGTGCGTAAAATAACAGATTGATGTCACACAGTGTGTAAAATAACAGATTGATGTCCCATAGTGTGTAAAATAACAGATTGATATCACACAGTGTGTAAAATAACAGATTGATGTCCCATAGTGTGTAAAATAACAGATTGGTGTCACACACTGTTTAAAATAACAGATTAGTGTCACACGGTGTGTAAAATAACAGATTGATGTCACACAATGTGTAAAATAACAGATTGATATCACACACTGAAAAATAACAGATTGATATCACACACTGTAAAATAACAGATTGGTGTCACACAGTGTGTAAAATAACAGATTGATATCACACACTGTAAAATAACAGATTGATGTCACACAGTGTGTAAAATAACAGATTGATATCACACACTGTAAAATAACAGATTGATGTCACACAGTGTGTAAAATAACAGCTTGATATCACACACTGTAAAATAACAGATTGATATCACACACTGTAAAATAACAGATTGATGTCACACAGTGTGTAAAATAACAGATTGATATCACACACTGTAAAATAACAGATTGGTGTCACACACTGTAAAATAACAGATTGATATCACACACTGTAAAATAACAGATTGATATCACACAGTGTGTAAAATAACAAATTGGTGTCACACAGACAGTAAGTAAAATGATGGATGGGTAAACTGGTGATCAACCTATGTGATGATTCTCAGTTATATATATATTTTTTTTAAGGGGAACCGTCAGAACCTAGAGCAAAAACACAAGTGAAGTCACAGAAGAAACATGTCACAGAAACAACAAGTAGCCAACCTGAAGAAGAAGATGTTAGTGAAGAGTCTGCAAGCTCCGACACAGGTGCTGTGAAGGTAACTCCAGGACAATTTCAGAAACAGTCTAGCAAAGACTCTGCGCCGAAAAGAAATCAGAAGAAGAGAAAACAACAGCAAAAAACTTCAGTGAAGGGAAACCAGAAGAGAAGGACACCGGCAGGGGAGACAGAGACGAGCAGTAGGAAGACTCAGTCACAGAAAACAAAGACAGGTAATATTTTTATACGCAGATCGGTGCTTTAATTATATCCTACCCCAGATGACGTCACAGGACAGTCCAACATTTTAGAGGGTAGTAAGACTAGGTGTCCCGACTTTCTTATGCTTTAAACGACCCCCAAATCATCTAGAACTGGCCCTAACCCCAACCAACCCCCTGAAATATTAGACTGTCCCTTGACTTGTGGGTTTCCCCTGTTTGGGGTAGTATATTGATACAGCACCCGCAGATCTCTACTTCTTTGATGCCTATGCGACAGAGACTGCCACTCCCTAATTGGACTTTACAGTAAAAGCAGACGCTGTTGCCATCCTATCTTTTGCTATCACATGTAGCTCACTCTTTCTCCTTCCTGTCTTTTTAACTCAACTGTCTAATTTTCCCATTTCCATGTTTTTTTTAGGGGGATGGGGGGTCTGCCTTTATTTCTGTGCCTCTATGTTTCATTGCAAAGATGTTTTAGTTATGTTTTTCTCAACGTGTGTCCTATGCAACACCACCACCATTTCTTCACCTCTTGATTCACTGGAATATTCACTGATTCTCTCCCAAAACTCAATTCTGTCATACCATTTAATTCTCTCTGTTCTGCGCAGGCACCTGTTAATCTTCTTCGCGTTCACCAGCTGTAAACTCTAGCGGAAAGTTCTGGTTGTTTGTCCACTTCTGGACTATAGTCCTGTTCCAGAACTGAGTGTTGCATGCACATCCAGTCTACAAATCTGACTTGTGTTAGTTTACTTTAGGACATGCTTGTTGGAGAATCAGTGGGACCCCCATAGTGGGGTCCTGGAACCCAAATGGGCAGCACTAGTTAATGAATGTTTATTAGTAATTTTCTTAGTTGTTCCCCTTGTTTCCGCTCCATACAGTATACATCAATATCGTCACCATGCAGTTACTGTATTCAAGGTGCTAGTATTTGCCAGCTTCCACCTAATGTGTTTTATACACAAGTTGTAATAGATTATAGTATAGTTCGTTGAAGAGATGTGCCCTGCATTATATTTATGACTGATATCGTTTAATACACATTGTGGCCCATTTGTCCAAGTTATGCTATTAATATAAGGGCTATTTTTCAACTAACACATTCTGTCTTACTTCATTTTCAGTTTCAACACCGGCATCATCTGGTGTCAGAATACCTCCAACTGAACCTGTGCACAAGGCCAAGAAGAGAAGGTTAAATAAATAACTGGCCCCTTAAGCAAAAGTTGAAGATGAGCAAGTTAACTGCCCCACGCACAAGTTGGAAACAGAGGAAATTAATCACCCTGTGAACAAGTTGAAAAGGAGCCGGTTAACCGTGCTGTGCATAGGTTGAAAAACAAAACTACTCTGTGTACTAGTGAAAGAAGAGCAAGTTAACCCCCCTGTGCACTAGCGGAAGAAGAGCAAGTAAATCGCCCTGTGCACTAGTGGAAGAACAAGTTAACTGCCCTGTGCACTAGTGGAAGAACAAGTTAACCACCCTGTGCACTGGTGAAAGAAGAGCAAGTTAACCACCCTGTGCACTAGTGAAAGAAGAGCAAGTTAACTGCCCTGTTCACAAGTAGAAGAGGAATATCTGAAGAACAAGCCTTCTGTTCATGCCTGTTGTCACCAATAAACACTGTCATATACATATTCATGTATTTCTGTCATTGTATGCGTAAGTCAGATTTTAAAATTATCACCACACTCCAAAGTATGTTTCTGGTGTTGGGAATCTTCTTACAGCTCATTCTGTGTTCCATTATTGTCATGTCTATCAGTAACCTTCGTGTACTTCCAATCATTTCTGTCACTGATGGTCTTCCACACAATAATGTTGAACTGTCCAGCATTTTCTCTTTGGGTCTGCCTCTCTTCCCCACCAACCATCACCATGTACTCTAGTTTTCTCCTTCTCATAATGTGACAACAGAAAGTAGATTCTCTCCTTCTGGTGTGGGCAGTTAGGTCTCTGGGTCAGGTGTCTTCATTACTTTTTTCTAGGGTATTCACATCATTTGTCTATAAAACCACACCTCTGCATCTTCCAAATATAGGGAGGGCATTGTGTAAAGAAGAGGCAATAACAAAGCCTGTGTGTGTCAGAATGAAGGAATGAACTTTATTATCAAAGGGTCACAAGTGGACACATTTCTAACTCTTATGTGTCACACGTACATGTTAATTTCATTCAGTGTTTATCATTAACACGAAAGTTGATCATCATATACAAAATACACTTGTGGTAAGATTGTATATTCATACATACACTTAGAAGCATAAATACATTCATACTGACCAAAAAAAAAGATATCTTGAGCAGAGATATACGTGTGCCGGAGTAAATACGAGGGCGTGTCAAATTAAAACCTGAAAAGTGGAATTACAGTTATAATAACAATGCATTGTCTTGTAGCCGGTTTGTACTGGAAAATGAGACAGTGTTAAGACTGACACAGTGATGTCATAATGAATGGTTAAAGATGACCAACCCACTTTTGACATACACGAAAGAGTAGCAGTGTTACGTTATCCATTTGTTTTAATCATATGGGTGAAATATTTAGGTCAGACAATTGGCATGGTTAGTGTCCGTTCTTTGATATTTTAAGGTTTTCATTTGAAACCCCTTCATAACACGTTTTTGCTTGCAGGATGGTAAAACTACATATGGGCTATGTAAACCAGACTGCTGAGTGTATTTTAACAGTTGATCCTGTCTATATATATATATATATATATATATATATATATATATATATATATATATATATATATATATATATATATATATATATATATATATATCCCTGGTACATTTACTTGTGTGTTCTGACTGTCTGGGGTGCTTTTGCAATTATTCTCCCCGATGATGTCACAGGACTGTCAAATAATATAGAGGGTGGTAAGATAGGTCTTTTACCAGTGTGTTTCCAGCTGTCTTTCTGCATTGCCAAGGTTTCAGAGTGTTGCTTGTACACCAGCCAATTGCGCACCAACACAAATTTTCAGAAAAATGCACACAAAAAAACAGCACAAGAAAGTCACAAAACTCAAAACCGCACGGCAAATGAAATGATACCACCCCCTGAAATAGCTGACTGTCCTGTCAGCTGTTGATTTCATGTGGGTGAATCATTATGAAAGAACCCTGTCTGGTACATAGTGTATGTTGCGATTCCATGTGGTGTGTGATATGACAGTTTCACCTCTTAACCCTGCACTAGTAAATTATGACTGAACCATCTGTATCTCTGACTTATGTTGTAATTGTACCATCTGTGTCTCTGTCTTATGTTTTAATTGTACCATCTGTATCCCGGTCTAATGTTGTAACTACCATATTTATCTCAAGTGTTGGCAAACTTGTACTGTCTGTTCCCATGTATGATGACTTCATGTCCTCATGTACAACTGGTCATTCTTAACAGCCTCACTACTTCTGCACGTATCCATTGCCTTGCCTGGAGCTCGGTGTGATTTCAATAAGTAATTGCAATGTAGCCAAGTCGGAGCACCATTAACAAGCTGCGAGAGGGAACAAGAAACAATATAACACATTTACACTATATATCTAAATATAACCACAGTAGAACAATCAAACAGAACACCTAGTACTCTCCGTGTGTTTTTCCTCCTGGTGCCATGGAAAAAGGGGAGGTGTGACATGTAACAAAAGTTGATTAATTAGGACTGTTTGCTTCAAAGTCAATAGTGTTTCTGCCTGAGAGTTAGACAAACTGATGTGTGCAGCGTACAGCTGGTGAATACCAGAAATAAATCATGACAAACTGATATGTACAGCTGGTGAATACCAGAAATAAATTATGACAAACTGATGTGTACAGCTGGTGAATACCAGAGATAAATTATAACAAACTGATGTGTGCAGCGTACAGCTGGTGAATACCAGAGATAAATTATGACAAACTGATGTGTACAGCTGGTGAATACCAGAGATAAATTATGACAAACTGATGTGTACAGCTGGTGAATACCAGAGATAAATTATGACAAACTGATGTGTGCAGCTGGTGAATACCAGAGATAAATTATGACAATCTGATGTGTGCAGCGTACAGCTAGTAAATACCATAAATAAATTATAACAAACTGATGTGTGCAGCGTACAGCTGGTGAATACCATAAATAAATTATGACAAACTGATGTGTACAGCTGGTGAATACCATAAATAAATTATGACAAACTGATGTGTACAGCTGGTGAATACCAGAAATAAATTATGACAAACTGATGTGTTCAGCTGGCGAATACAAGAGCTAAAGTGTGACAAGCTAATGTGTACAGCTGGTGAATACAAGAGATAAATTGTGACAGGGACAAATGAGAATTGGCAGGGTCTTCAGCAACCATATGGTGCCATGTATTGCTCAATGTGTAAAGCAACTGGTCACCCCATCATATTTGCCATGACCTAGAATGTGCGAAGGCCTGTTACCTTTTTTTTCAAAACTGAACTCTGCTCTCTCTCAGGTTGACCCAGCCTAAAAGTGGTACCAGGTAATGTCCTGGGAAGTAAAGGCAGCCAATAAGGTACTCACCACATAATGCATCGATGCTATGCTAGCATCATGTGCCCAGTGTGAAAAGTGTTCTTTATTTCACCTGAGAACAGTAAGCACTCCAGCAAGGACAAACTTGTCAGACTTACTGCTCACTCACCTGAGAACAGTTACCACTCCAGCAAGGACAAACTTGTCAGACTTACTGCTCACTCACCTGAGAACAGTTACCACTCCAGCAAGGACAAACTTGTCAGACTTACTGCTCACTCACCTGAGAACAGTTACCACTCCAGCAAGGACAAACTTGTCAGACTTACTGCTCACTCACCTGAGAACAGTTACCACTCCAGCAAGGACAAACTTGTCAGACTTACTGCTCACTCACCTGAGAACAGTTACCACTCCAGCAAGGACAAACTTGTCAGACTTGCTGCTCACTCACCTGAGAACAGTTACCACTCCAGCAAGGACAAACTTGTCAGACTTACTGCTCACTCACCTGAGAACAGTTACCACTCCAGCAAGGACAAACTTGTCAGACTTACTGCTCACTCACCTGAGAACAGTTACCACTCCAGCAAGGACAAACTTGTCAGACTTACTGCTCACTCACCTGAGAACAGTTACCACTCCAGCAAGGACAAACTTGTCAGACTTACTGCTCACTCACCTGAGAACAATAACCACTCCAGCAAGGACAAACTTGTCAGACTTACTGCTCACTCACCTGAGAACAGTTACCACTCCAGCAGTGACAACTTGCTGCACTCACCTGAGAACAGTAACCACTCCAGCAGTGACAACTTGCTGCACTCACCTGAGAACAGTGACCACTCCAGCAGTGACAACTTGCTGCACTCACCTGAGAACAGTAACCACTCCAGCAGTGACATCTTGCTGCACTCACCTGAGAACAGTAACCACTCCAGCAGTGACAACTTGCTGCACTCACCTGAGAACAGTGACCACTCCAGCAGTGACAACTTGCTGCACTCACCTGAGAACAGTGACCACTCCAGCAGTGACAACTTGCTGCACTCACCTGAGAACAGTGACCACTCCAGCAGTGACAACATGCTGCACTCACCTGAGAACAGTAACCACTCCAGCAGTGACAACTTGCTGCACTCACCTGAGAACAGTGACCACTCCAGCAGTGACAGCTTGCTGCACTCACCTGAGAACAGTAACCACTCCAGCAGTGACAACTTGCTGCACTCACCTGAGAACAGTAACCACTCCAGCAGTGACAACTTGCTGCACTCACCTGAGAACAGTAACCACTCCAGCAGTGACAACTTGCTGCACTCACCTGAGAACAGTGACCACTCCAGCAGTGACAACTTGCTGCACTCACCTGAGAACAGTGACCACTCCAGCAGTGACAACATGCTGCACTCACCTGAGAACAGTAACCACTCCAGCAGTGACAACTTGCTGCACTCACCTGAGAACAGTGACCACTCCAGCAGTGACAACTTGCTGCACTCACCTGAGAACAGTGACCACTCCAGCAGTGACAACTTGCTGCACTCACCTGAGAACAGTAACCACTCCAGCAGTGACAACTTGCTGCACTCACCTGAGAACAGTGACCACTCCAGCAGTGACAACTTGCTGCACTCACCTGAGAACAGTAACCACTCCAGCAGTGACAACTTGCTGCACTCACCTGAGAACAGTGACCACTCCAGCAGTGACAACTTGCTGCACTCACCTGAGAACAGTGACCACTCCAGCAGTGACAACTTGCTGCACTCACCTGAGAACAGTAACCACTCCAGCAGTGACAACTTGCTGCACTCACCTGAGAACAATAACCACTCCAGCAGTGACAACTTGCTGCACTCACCTGAGAACAGTAACCACTCCAGCAGGGACAAACTTGCCAGACTTGCTGAATCTGTATCCCATGACAACAGTGAGAATGGCAGATGTCACTGCAATAGAAAGTTTTGAAGTGGCATAGCTCTCTGAGTCACTTGTATGACAAAATGCTTGTTGTTTTCATTTAGTGTCACCCCTCACAAAGCTGCCAGGGATAGTCTCACCCTTCATAGATTCTTCTTCTTGTGACTGCATCCCTAATTTTCACAGATGAGTTCTTATGATAAAATAATTTTTTTTTTTAGTTATGTACAACTTTCTGGTGTTTACTTATCATGCCAGTATTGCCTTTCAACAGACTGTTCAGGGGATTTGGGTACCCAAGTTCAGAACCTCGGTAAGGCCTACATAACACAACTGGTAAATACAGGTAGTGATTAGCCAACTGGTTCTGGCGCTCATGCGTCTCCACAGATCACGATCCCTGACTGCCTAGAACAGCTCTCTTGATGATATCCCTCCATGCCATTGTTTCAGCACATCCAGCATCATCTCTCTTGGTCTGCCTCTACCCCCTTTTCCACTGACCTTTCCAGTTGTCATAATTTTCTCCAATGTCTTTCTTCTCATTATGTGGCCAAAGAAAAGTGTTTGTCTCTTTCTTATTGTTGTATATTGAGATCTACTTTCATTAGCTTCTTTCAAGCAACCATTGTTAGTTACTCTGACCGTCCAAGGTATTCATAACATTCGTCTCAGAAACCACATCTCTGTTGCTTCCAAATTCTTCCTAATTTGTTCACTGACATTCCAAGATTTGCTGCCATACAACAGAACAGGTTCTATGTAACATTTTAACACCCTCTTTCAGACACTAAATGAGAACGAAAATCTGACAAAATTCATATTTTGATTTAGTCTGCTCTAATGCTGAGATCTTGGCTGTTTAGTTGGGAATATAATTTACTAGTGGATATACATTCTGTATGAGAGACTGAAGCAAGAATCCAACAAGCCAACAATGTCGCATACCAGCTTGCCCCAATTTTAAAACACCCTGCTGTCCCAGCTGAGATAAAAAGACAAATTATAAATACAATCTTTATACCGACATTAGGTTATCAATGTCAGACTTGGACATTAACAAAAGAACACGAGAGAAGACTAACCACCTGTGAAATGAGATGTTTGAGAATGGCTGCGAATAAAACCAGAAGAGATCGAGTGAGAAACGATGTGATCACAAGAACTATTGGAACCATACCCATCGTTAAATTTATTGAGAAGCAAAGAATGAAATGGTTTGGTCACCTAATGAGAATGGAACCAACGATGCCAGCGTCAAGAGCATACAACATGAAAATCGAAACAACAAGAGGCAGGGGAAGACCAAGAAGAAGATGGATTGAAGGAGTCACGGACAACTTGAGACTTCATAACATCACGGCATATGAAGCGACTGAGCGCGCCCTGGCTCGGTTGCCGATCATCTGATAGACTGCGACACCTAGCGGCACAAGCAGATTTTGACAAAAGAAGAAAGATACATTCTGTATGATAGTGATTGTGCTGATCCATCTGTTTATGCTTGTATCCATGACTATTTTAGATAGTTTTTCATGGATCACACTAAGGGGAGCTGGTCGTTTATTTTAAAATATTTCCCTCATGGACAAGGCAGCTGCTAGTTTTTCTTTTAAAATATTTCTTCCATGGATTAATTCACTCTTGACCAGCCATAGATAGTATTGTCCCACCAATCTTGCAAGATAAAAATAGTACACAGCCAGAGATAGTCTTATTCCCCCCACCCCCACCCCACTGCCTTTCCACTGAACAGTCTATGATATTACAGTATCACCTCAACTATTACCTACAAGACATAAATTTTACAGGGACAAAGTGACAACAAACCTAATGAAAGTGTGACATTTTTTGCATCCTGTCCCATCTGAATTGATCCAAATATCATTACGATACCACATAGCAAGCCTGCGGCCAAAGATGGTACACTTCCTGTAAAAAAAAAAAAAGCATACTATCTTAGACTAATGTTATAATCTTCTTCTTCTTCTTCTTTCCTTCATTTGAAAAAGATTATCTATATCTGCAATGTTGTCTCTAGTATGAACTTTACTGTCTTTTGTAATTCACTCAGCGACCCGTAAAGATTGGCTTGCACCGGTGTTTCTCTTGGCCAAATGTTTTGCCTTGATGTGTTGTACTTGAGACAGTCTTGGAGGACATGATCTGTTGTCTCAGGTGCCAATTCACATGTGCACATGTCTGTTTCACAGATTTTTAATTTTGTGTATGTGTGGCTGCAAAGTTGATCGTGTCCTGTTAGAAGGCGTAGAATAATAACTTGCTCTAGTCTGTCCATAAAATGTAATCGTCTTGTACCGGTTTTGGTGGCTTTCTGACTGATTTGATTATTCTCTTCTTCTGTTGATAAGAGACTGGTACATCAGGTAGTTCTTCATTTGCACCTCCCTTAGCTAGTTTATCAGCTCTTTCATTTCCACTAACTCCACAGCGGGTTGGTATCCAATGCATAGTTACCTCACACTGGTTGCCTAGTTTGGAGAGTAGTGTAATCTGGTAATCTGGTAATCCTAGTTTCAGCATCATAGCAAACGGGTCACCCCATTGTTGCTCCGCTCCTGTGCCAACGAAAAACACTCGTAGCTCACAGTGTCACACCATGCACTCAACTCAGAAGCTGGGTGACGAAACCATATCCTTCCAGTCTACAAATGGAGCAAAAATGCAACGGCCACCGCCTGGCAGAACTGCCACGGCTAAAAAAAAAAAAAAAAAAAGTGGCCGTGCCTAGCGTCCACTGTGACTTGAGTAGTGTTCGTAAACCAGGTAATCTTCTAGATTGGAGGGCCAGAAGTACCGCTCTTGCATGTTTTATAATCAATCAATAACTAGTTACCTCCATGGCTCTGTGGTTGACTCAGATTCACCAGAAAGGTGCCAGTTTTTAGAATTAGCATAAAGTGCACTGTAACATTTACAGCTGTGCACTTTATCATCATGTTCTGGGAGGGAAATTGATCAGAAAGGGAACTGTTCACCTCACTTCATATTTCTTTACTTAGAATTTGTGAAAGCCAAACACTGGTATACCAGTAACTGACTACCTCACTGGCAGAAAACCCCAACCACCAAAGAATGGCAAGACTATATGGGCATGTCATGAGCTGCAATGATTCCATTATAAGATGAAAGCAGACTCCATAAAAGTGTGTTTGGCTATTATCTGTGCCTTATCACAGAAACATTTGTTTGTAAGATGCTTTAAATTTGTGAGCAAGACCTGAAAGATTATAGTCTATAAGAAGGTGTGTTGTGTTCTTCCAGAATGTCTTTGTCTTTTCTTTCAGTTTTGTGTGTGTGTTAATGTTTTCCTCCAGGATGGCCATATGTAGGATTAACATCTCAAGGATGAGAATCAAACAGGTACAAGTCTTTGAAACTTTGTTTAGCCATACATCCATATAGCACAGTTATACTGGGGCACCACAAAATGGTTAGAAAGTAACTTATATGACTGAATTTTTACCCCACCAGGATATCACACAATAAACACCTGGTGACACAAAGTGCCACCATTCAGATGAGGATCACCCGTGGAGAGGTCCCTGAAGCCCGTTTAACTGTTAGGTTATATTAGGGCTCCCGGCAACAACCAGGGTGGAGCTTCAAATTATAGAAAAATTTGTCCCACATGGGGACGGAGATTATAGTTACTTAAATCTAGTGTGGGCGAGTCTATTTATTTAAGTTTGGACGTAATTATATTGTGTTACATTTTAGGCATATTTGCTGCTACATCAAAATTTCGGCTATCCTCCGAATAACGGGCACAAAAGATGGCGGCCGCAAAAACATCCTAGCATAGCCTCAGTCACGTGTCAATTGTGCACTTCGGGCGACTTAATTTGCGGTTTTCTGGCGACGACCGCCACACTCACGAGCAAAGCTGCAGGAGATGCGGAAGCTGCTGCTCGTGAGTCCTAGCCATCTAGTTTAGCCCCAATCCACGGCGCGTTAGCGGCGTGGGGGACTCTTGGCGGTGGCGGTAGTCGCCGGAAAACCGCAAATTAAGTCGCCGGAAGTGCGCAATTGACACGTGACTAAGGCCCTCTTTTTGGCCGCCATCTTTTGTGCCCGTTATTTGCAGGATAGTCAAAATGTCTTCTATGCATTTGCTTGCTGAACAAGAACAGAAAAGTAGTCTATAAGAATGTGTGTTATCTTGTTTGTAATGATCAAATTTCAACACATGTATTAGTTATTATTTGGGGTTGAGTAGTCTCCAGGCATGGCGTCCGCTTTGAATGCTGGAGGTCCCGTGGACTTCTAGTAATTTCCCATAGCCTCTGGGTAGTAAGATCGGACGCCTGTGTGTATTGTTGTGCACGTAACAAGAAATCAAAAAGAGTAGACTAAAGCCAAAAGGCGCTGTCTGGGCAACATTTTGAATTAAAAATCTACCCAAAGTATTTCCTTATCCTCGCCGGTGCTACGGAGTTCGTGCTGAGAAGCGGATCACTTAAAGGTTACTACCCTTGTGCCATGATGGTGATCAGTCGTATACATCATAAGTTATTAGTAGCAGCTGTATTTATAACCTCTAGCTAGACTCTAGTGGACTTTGAACCGGACTTAGGGACTTAAGTCCGACATCGCTGCATTATTATCAGAAAAATAATAATATTAATTAGGTTTTGATACGTAAAAAAGGAAATGTCATCAGTCCTACCTTTCCTGGCATAACCGATGATTCCACCCACCGAAATAATCACAGCGTAAAGCAAATTGATGAGATCTACAGCCATCTGTGTTACTGTTTGAAGTCTGGGGAAGAGAGAGAGAATGCCAGACGTCGTCTGCTGACCAGATCGTGTCGTTTGCGCCTGACGTGACTAGAGTCGACTCCCCTGTTACCAGGAAACCATGTAATAAAGAGCACTCTTTGCTGGAGCCCTATGTGCCCAAAACTACCGAAGTCGTGGAAAAGTATCTTTAAATTTTTTTTCTAGAGTGTAAAAAAATATGAAATCACAAGAAAACCATTTATTGACTATAAACCTTATATAACGATGACAAACTTGTTACACATAGAGAGCCCCAGAGACCTGCGTGGCAAGTTCAAGCAATATATTACTAGGAGTGCCAAACTTGGACACTATCTAAAGCCCACATACGCAAAATCACCACCTGCGAGATGAGATGCCTGAGAAAAGCAGCCAACCTAACCACTCGAAATCGAGTGAATAATGAAACTATCACGCAAATTGTGGGAACGACACCTTGTACAAGATTCATCGAGAAACAGCAGATCAAGTGGTTTGGCTATCTCGTTAGAATGCAGCAAGAATCAAATACCACCACAAGCACTATATCTCAGAAGATCAGCTACAAGAGCAAGAGGACGGCTGTCGAAACATAGATCGACAACATTAAAGACACTGTACGCCTTCACGGCATGACAATAGCCAGTGGCAGCCAGCGTGCACTGGCTCGCAAATTATTCCTCCACACGGTAGTTAACGGCAAAAGTGGTTAATGATGATGATGTTCACTAAAAATCTATATCTAGAAGGGTAAAGAATGCACACGAATACTTGATGAAGTTCTCCTAAAGATAAAATTGTTTAAGAGTAATCAGCTCTGTTACTTATGGCATAATAAATCCACAATTTCAATTACCCAAATGAGTTGAGTTGAGTCAAGAAGTGACATCGCAGCACTCGGGTATTTCCCTTGTGTGCTCCGTCTTCATCTTCAGCTGCCAGCGCAGAGTTTCACTACTAGTGGTACTACTGGTACCGGTCGTAATCTGGTTATATGTCCGTCTTGCCTTTCAACGACACAGTGTTAGTGAGATTATCTAAATAGTCATAGTACAATTTATCTGTCATAAATACAACTTAAATCAAAGCAACACTTGAAACAGTACTAATTACATATTTGTCCTCAATAAATGTTCTTCTTCAGCATTCCTAAATAAATAATTTCATCAAATATAGAATAAAAAGAACACGAAATGCCACAATTATTTCCCTGAGGATGGTGCAGGATTTTTTTTAAAATTACTATTACTACATCATCATTATCAAGTGCCTTGCCTAATGGCGTCTTTTGAAGAAATTAGTTTGAAATCTTTCCTTTTTAACTTCTGTGTAATGTCACATGACACAGTCTGCACTCCAGTTTACCGTGTAACCGTCGGGGCCCCCACATAACCTCACGGTTAAATAGGGTTTCTTGGAGTCCAAGGTAGTTAGCGTCCTGTGGATGTTTTCTCCAGGTAATGCTGGTGTGTTGGGAAACGAGTAAGCAGATAAACTGGTTGGTTCTGTGCCACTTGGTGGTGAATTGATGTATGACAAGCTGGATGTTTTGAGGGTCCATTGGGAGCGAGGGAACAGTTCGAAGGCACAGATAGATCATTACGGTCTGAGGAGAATGGAGCTGCGCCTAGTTACCAAGTAAGCTGGTCGACGCCCAACACTCAAGGTAAAGGCGAGACAGTTACTGGTACCATCGGAACTGGTACTCTTCGTTTGCTGCTGAAAATGGGGAAGGAGCGTTTGTAAAAGTTTCCCGAGTGCTACGATGTCGATTCTTGATTCAACATTGGGGTGTCTGGAAATTGTACTTAGGGAGTTTCTTATCCGAATAGTGACAACTATGCACTAACACCTGCCAATTACTGCTTTTATTATACTAATTTTGAGTTTAGGAGGGGTTGGGGGGGGGGGGGGTCTTTGAGCCTGAGGTTTTACGGCCGCATGGCTAGTGCTGTCGCCACGACTGTGTAGGTGAGGGTTTTATTTTGCTCCCGACAGAAAAATTCCTAGCCTTAACGAGGATTTAAACCCGAGCCCAGCGAACTAACCGTTCGGCCAGCCGCTCCTCGCACTTAATCACCATGTCTTAATCGTTCATGCACGCACGTCCACAAGCACTTGATCGTAGTGATGGTAACGATTGTTTTTCTTACTTTGGTGGTATGCGAGCTCTAGATTTTTTTTCTTACTAGCTTAGTAGGCGAGCTCACGACTGTTTTTCTTACTAGCTTGGTAGGCGAGCTCCCGATTGTTTCTCTTACTAGGCTGGTATGTGAGCTCACGATTGTTTCTCTTACTAGGCTGGTATGTGAGCTCACGATTGTTTCTCTTGGTAGGTTGGTATGTGAGCTCACGATTGTTTTTCTTGCTAGTGTGGTATGCGAGCTCACCATTGTTTTTCTTACTAGATTGGTAGGCGAGCTCACGACTGTTTTTCTTACTAGGGTGGTATGCAAACTCACGACTGTTTTTCTTACTAGGGTGGTATGCAAACTCACGACTGTTTTTCTTACTAGGGTGGTATGCGAGCTCACGATTGTTTTTCTTACTTGCTTGGTATGCGAACTCAAGATTGTTTTTCTTACTAGGGTGGTATGCGAGCTCACGATTGTTTTTCTTACTAGGGTGGTATGCGAGCTCTAGATGGGTTCGGGGTGGATGGGTCACTGGTATGTTATGTCCAGCAGGATGAAGAACTGGATGCGATAAAAGTAATAAATCACCGCCAAGATGGCGACTGTAAATGTTTGTGTGCTAATTTCAACCAAGACAAAACATTTGTTTTATCTCGTTATGTCCTAAATTTTCTTGCTGAACCCGAACAGTATGTATTCTATCACATTTGTCCTAACTAGCTTAGCTGACCGCCCTGAATATATGTCATTTTTAGTCTTAAGTTTAAGTTCTGTAATAAATTAATAACAATTACCACTTGCCAATCTGCCTGCACTGGACTGGGCTCCCGGTACATTTAATTTGGCTCTGCTTCGAACGGCGTCATAAAATGGCGGCCATAATATGATGCCGTTTGAAAGAGAGCCAAATTGGCCACATTCTGGCCATAAAATATCCGAATGGGGCTCAGTTCTATTAAAAATAACGAAACAAATGCTCTAACAGGGTCTCTGCGATATGTTACTTGCGGACCTGCTTCTGCGAGTGTGCCTCACCGCCGACCGTATCTAGATGGCTGGGACTCACGAGCAGCAGCTACCGCATCTCCTGCAACTTCCTCCAATTACTTTACTCGTGAGTCCCAGGCACCTAGATTAGCCCCCCATCCGCGCCACACGTAACGGCGCGGGGGATACGCTCGGCGATGAGTTTAATCACGTTTTGCACATGCCGACAAGTCTGACATCTACCGCTGCTAAATCCTCAATCGGAACAACACAGTATTGCTAATCGGATTTCATCGTCTGTAATGTCTCGAAATTGTCAACGGTCGCTAATATCGTCTGCTAGTATCGTCGTCTGCAGAAATGCTCAAAATTGTTGTCAACGGTCGGTATTTATCGTCTACTACTACCGTGTGCAATGTTGATATTGTCAAGTAATCCTAGTTTTCCCGCGATTTGTCCCTTGGCAGAAAGTCCGTATTTTAGATATGCCTAAACACCGTTCAGATATTTCTGGATATTTTATGGCCAGAATGTGGCATCATATTATGGCCGCCATTTTATGGTGCCATTCGAAGTAGAGCCTTTAATGTAATATTTAATAATTACAAACAACATATTACAAATAGTAAACAAAAACAATACTGCTAGAAGAAGAGGCAGGGCTTGACCAACATGGATATGGACTCATGAATGTTAACTCTTTAAATATCATACATTAAAAAACGTGTTCTACCCAAAGACGTCACATTAGTTTAACTCTTTCAAACCTATGAATTTTGACAGACATGGCCCACATTAATTTCCCTTTACGAAAATGGCAGAGAGGATGGCGTAAAAAAAAAAAAGGCAACAGAGAATGTAATATTCTTCTATATACTTCTTATCCCTACAAAGTGTATATATTTTTTTAAAGAGAAATGAATGTATGTTGTGAATTTGATGATATGTAAATGTTCAATTCTGTTATAGTTAGTAGGAAAGAACAATTCAGCAGCTGTTAATTTTACAACAGATTTTTACAAACAAATTCTTTACTCACCATGGTTTTGCAGCTATGTTGTTGTTGTTATTGATCCAGCGCCGCACGAGCTTTCGCCCTTTGGCCCAATGCTATGTAGTGGAATTTGCATGTTTTCACAGGGGGCAGTATGGTGTGGTGCGCCAGGTTTTTTTAATCGAAGTTTGCTCCTCTAGATCCATTGTGTTTTGCCTGGGGATTCGCACCCCCAGTTACCAGGACTACCTCGGGGAGGGTGTGGCTCTTTGCCATGCACAATGGTCTTGGGGTAAGAGACGTTGTGCTAGGTCAAGAGACTGACATCGCAATGGATGCTCCTTTCATGAACAGATATTTCACTAGACCTAGGGTGAAGTGGGGGGGGGGGGGGGGGGGGGGTAAGAACCACTACCCACAACGCCAGCACTTCTTACCCCCTGCCTCTCGAGGCTCAGTCCCGTTTTGCAGCCAAAAGAGCACTATATACCAAAATTTGAGAATAATACTTTAAAGTTTGTTCAGTTTTCTAACAAATTTACAAAGTTATAAGTTTCTGGGTTAGTTTAGCAAGCAGGGGCTTTGGGTCACAAATTTCTGTTGACTTTCTGATCAACTGTCTCCACCTTTGGCGGTCTTTTGCGATGGACTTCGTGGTTACATGCCTGAGGCCTGTCAGGTGCTGTAGCCAGGTCTTACTTTGTCTACCTCTTCTCCTCTTTACCTCTACTCTTTTATTTATTTACTACTTACTAGTTGGTTTTTGATTATTACTAAGTGGAGTTTGGTGGTGTAATTGTTTGTTTTTCTAGGACAGAATTTGAGTGACATTGCTGTAACAAGACCGGCCCAACCCCTGACAGATG